TAGACTGTAAATAAAATAATTATAACACTAAGGAACATTAAAAGTTTCAAAAGTTATTAGCAAAAAGTCATATCTGACCAACAAAGGCTACAAACTACAAAAAGTCTGCTTCACCCCACAAATATGATGAACTCAATTATGAGCTTGAGTTTCATATCACTAGCAATACGACGTCAATGTCTAGTATGCAGTCCACTTGAATCTGATGATGATGCCAAGCCATCATTATCAGAGTCATCCTCCTCCACATGAAAACCTTCTTCCCTTGTCTTGTCAGAGTCTACATCCTCGTCCTCCTCTTTGTCTGCGCCTTCTTCCTCCCCTTCCCCTTTCCCTTTTCCTGGGCCACTTCCGTCCCCTTCCTTTGTGTTTGGGATCTAGTAGATCTCACCAGGCTTGATGCCAAACCAGCCGCCTCTTGCACATGGGTCCATGTCAAGCTCTCTCTCTGGAATACAGGCTCATCCTCGGCATTGGGTTCAACCAACCACTTGCTTGTTGGATTTATATCTTTCACAAGTATGGGTTCTTTAATTTGAAAGTGCTCTAGATGGCTCCATTAGCCGTCAATTATTTAATAAGAATTAAGCAAATATTAGACTAACTAATGACAAAATTTATGGTTTATGAATCAATAAATCAAAAAAACATATTATACATGCAATTATTTAATAACCATTAAGTAATTATTAAACTAACGAATAAAATAAAAATGGTTTATGAATCATACAAATAAATTCATGTATAAAACTAAAAAAACAGAAGTAAAAAATAATATTCATTCAGTTTGGGGGCAATGGACATTTTTATTAAATTGCTTTCCCAAAGACCCAAATTACATATCTAAATGGGAAAATAATAATCCAAATACACAATAACATATCAAATATATATCACAAAATATAAGAAAAAATACAAATAGCAAATAATAACATCATTAGACATTAAGGGGAAAAAAATACTAAACCTAATGAAAACTATTGAAGTATACCAACCTTCTTGAAGTGCACTTGATTTCAGGTCAAACCGAAATGTTTGGCATCCCAAATCTCCTCTTTTACAACTCTTATAAGCCTCAAAAAGATTGGGGATGAATATCGTTTAATATCGTGAACTTTTGAGGATTTTGAAAAAAAATTTGATCTCGCAAAAATCTTCAAATCTAGTTTTTTTTCAAGTTGTTTCTCACTGTAAAGTTCACTAAAATTGCTTTTGGGGGCAAGAGTGCCCCCCCCAAACCCTTATCCCACTTTTTAAGGGGGTAAAATTACATTTTTTCTCCTCTCCCGAATGTTTTTTCCGCCAAGTTCGAGGCGGCGCCTAGGCGCTCGCCTTTTACACCTCCTAGGTGGGCGCCTAGTTTATTCCACCTAATAGTGTCCTCCTAGCCCATGCCTCGGCATTTTTCCAAAAAGTCCGCCTAGGCTGTCGGGCGGCTGACATGTCGTTGCTCCCCTCTATTTCGAGCCGTGCAGATTCAGCTCTCCACCAAATCATCTTTTAGGGCTTCCACCAGGTTCAAGTTAGGTAACGGTGTCAGAATCAGATTCTGGGAAGATTTTTGGCTGGGATACCAGACCCTAGATCAACTCTTCCCATCCCTTTTCTTTCTCGCTGTAGATCAAGATGCCCTTATGTCCCATTACGTGGAGTGTAGAGGCAACCTTCTTTCCTGGACTCCCTTATTTAGGAGAAACTTGCGAGATTCTGAATGGCCTACCTTAAATTCTCTTCTCTAACTCCTCAATCCCATTTTCTACCTCCTCTCTAGAGAAGATTCTTTAATCTGGTCTCTCAACCCTTCTAGCATTTTCTCCATCTCCTCTTTGTATACTTCCCTTCTTTCTAACTTGAATCCTTCCCCTCTTCTTAATAGACTCTGGTCCTTCCCCATCCCTCTTAAGGGCCAGGCTTTTCTTTGGACCATTTGTCAAGGAAAAATCCTTACATTGGACCAACTACAGATGAAGGATTTCTCCCTCCCAAAAGAGGAAGATGCACCTCATCTTCATCCACTACCCTTTTTCCGCTGCCCTCTGGTCCACTATCCTTCAACTTTTTGAGCTCCTCTAGGTTACACCCCAGAACATTCCAGATCTCCTTGTGGCTTTCATCTTCCCTTCTTTCCCTTCTAAAGCTACTAAACTCTGGCAAATAGCAGTTGCCACAGGGTATCCTTAAGCTTAATATTGACAGTTCATCTCTTGGCAACCCTGGACCCTTCGGCTATGGAGGTACACTGGCCAACTCAGAGGGTATATTCATCTCTTTTTTGGGAACCTTGGGTATCACTGACTCCACTGATGCAGAGGCACTGGTCCTGTTGGAAGGGCTCAAGAAGACCACTCTCTTTGCTGCACATTATACTGCTGTACATGTGGAATGTGACTCCAGTAATGTAATCAGATGGGTTTCCAACCTAGCTCCACCTCCATGGAGACTAACATCTCTCTTCGACTATATTCACCTTCTCTGCAGTGACCTACCACCAGTGACTTTCATGCACATCCTCAGATGAGAAACTCAGCTGCGGATAGCCAAGCAATAGATGCCCCTCCCTCCCTCCTCCCCCCCTCCCGCCTCGTCTTTCTCTTTCTCATTTATTCCCTCCCACCTTCCCTCGATTAAATTCTTGTTTCCTCTAGATAGAGAGAAAAAAAGGAAAAAAAAAGGAAAAAAAAGGGAAAAAAAATGAGTGAGAAAAAAAGAGAAAAAAAAGGGAAAAAAAAAGAGAAAAATGAAATTTATGTTGTATTTCTTCAGCACCCTACCCCTCTCCCCTCTTTTCTATTCATTCTCACACCCTTATCCCCCCCCCTCTTCTTCTTCCGTTCCCATCTAGAAATTGTTTTACGCTACCCTTTCTTCCTATATTCTCTCTTATCTTCTATTTCACAGTAGCACCTCTTCTCTTCGCTCGTTCCCCAGTCTGCCCCATCTCACATCCCTTTCTCGCTACCCCTTCGTGAAATCCCTATGCTACCCCCTCTCATCGTCTATCTCTACATACATGTCCCATCTTTCTTAACCCTCTGGAACTCCTCATCCTCCTTCCCCCCCTTCTCTTTTCTTCTCACTCGCTGCAGCATGTATCCAAGGGATGTCTCATGCTCGAGTTGACATCACATAAGCTTGGTGCTCGACCCCTTCTCGGCGGAGTTCCCTCGCGACATATTCAATTGTTCGACTATGGAGATCCTAGCATAACAAGATCGGACTGCACTGCCCTCATCTCTGTTGTCTTTTCTTTCCTTTTATTTGTTATCTTTAATTTTTCCTCTGTTGCTCTTCTGTCACCTTCTTCTGTACTCTGAGCACCGAACTTGTGGGCTGCCATTTTACCACTTCATGCGGTACTGTAATTTTTATATCTATTTATCAAAGTCAACCAACTTAAAAAAAAAAAAAACTAAAAATCTAAATAACATATCTTGCAAGTCCTGGAAAATATAAAAATAAAAAAAATTAAAAAATAATTTTTTATTTGCATCACAAAGTTTGACTCTTTGAATGTTGATGAGAAATTCAAATGTTAGAACTGAATTCTACTTCAAGCATTTTGACACGAGTAGCATGCATTGTTCAAAAAAAGGGCCCACCTAGTGCCTAGGCAACCTCTCCATGCCGTGCCTGGGGGGACTTGAGTGTGCTACCTAGGGCTAGGAAGCTGGGCGCCACGCCCAAGAGGCCCCAATGGTGCCCATGCTGGTGCCTCACGTCTAAGTTGAGTTCTCTCTCTCTCTTTCTCTCTTGGTGAGGTGGTGTGGTGTGTGGGTATTCTAACTCATCTCAAACTTGATTTTAGGGTTTGTAACGAACTTTAAAATATTCTTCGATTTCTCAAAATATGTTGAGATTGCAAAATTTCGAAAACTTTGATAAATCTTCTCAAACTTTGCTTCATTTTTAATGGATTTCTTGTGAACTACAAGAGAGGTTAGAGGAGGAAGTTTTGGTTGATCAAGTATATTCATCCAAAACATTGTGGATCGAAGATTGGGCAATAAAGGTTAGTACAATAGACATTTATATGCATATATATATTCAGAAATTAAACATATGCATATACATGAAATTGTTTTACATATATTTGCATATGCAGAAACTAAACATATGCATATCCATGAAAAATTATACACAGACACACATATATATGTATATCTGTATATGTATATATATAAATATATGGGGCTCCTTGAAACTGAGGCGACTGCCTAGCGCTCGGTAGCCAGAACGCCCTCCCTGCCTAGTTGCCGCCCCATCATATTTTTCAACCTTGGTTTAATTTTTTGGAATATTTAGATGTCCATGTTAATTACCCAAGAAAGAAATATATTTAGATGTCCATGTTGTGGTGCAACTTGTAACTAGTATATATAACAGAGCAGGGGACTTATGGGATGTCTTGAAGATCATGTTAGCTTGTGTTCCATTACAAATTCTGGTTGTAGTAAATGTATTGATATTCAAGAAAGAGAAAAGGAAGAACTTATGTCTATGCTTGTAATGCATCTTCTAACTTTTCAATTAAACAAATAGAAGAGCAGGGGCCTATGCTTTTATTTCCTGTTTTAATTAAGTTGTTATTTGTAAAATAGAAGAATTTATTAAAGGTTCATTTCCAGAACTGTCCCCCTCATTTTTCAACTTGCTCTTCATTATACTCAATAGCTAAGATGAGATTGTTCCATGCAAGGCTCTTAGGGGCTGCAAGTTGGCGAACCATATATTCTCATTATACACTGAAGTTGTTGACTCTGTATTCTTGGAAATGGGACCGCTGAACATTAAGTGTGTTAGATGCTGGTGCTCCTTATTGATGGATAATGCTTTTCTTTTACTGGATTGTAGATTGATAACTTATATTATACATAGACAAGCTTTTAAAGTTCGAAGTTGTTCATGCAGTCAGTGTTTAGAGAGAGATCTTTGAGAAAGAACATCATTGTTGAGGATTCTCGAAATGTTTTCTGATTGTCTGGTTCACTCTGATTTTGCAGGTATTGAGATCCCCAAGTTTGAAGACACAGTTACTCCACAATATAAACCTAAATTTGATGCATTGGTGAGAACAAACGAAATGATTGTTCTCTTTTATATGGTCAATTGATTGATTGAGGGGGGGAGGGAGGGAGAGGGTGGGGTGAGGGGGGGAGGGAGGTGAAGAGCGGGGAGGGAGGGAGGAGGGTGGGGTGAGGGGGGGAGGGAGGTGAAGAGCGTGGGGGGAGGGGTGGGGGAGGGGAGGGAAGGAGGATGCTTGTTCCTTATATTTCAAATGTATAGGTAAAACACTAAGGTAAGACATCCATTCCTTTGGAAAAAGATTGAAATAACTAAGAATATGTGCCCTATGAGGCCTTGTGTATGGCTGCAGTGCTGTCTCAGCTTCTATGTTTTGTCTGCTTCAAAAAATTGGGGCATAGTTTCGTCAGGTGTTTGTGGAACTCACGGTGGTGTGATTGATTTTATAACTAAAGGCATTTATTCTTTGAAACTTTTGGAATTGTCAAGGTTTCTTCCCCAAAAAAGAAAGGAAAACACATTATTTTTTAACTTGTTTAGTACATCCAGTTGTTTACTATTCCCTATATGCTTTTCGTTCATTTTATTTGCAGTTGGTGGAATTGAAAGAAGCAGAAGAGCAATCTGTCAAGGAGTCCAAGAGGTTGGAAAAGGAAATTGCAGAGGTCCAAGAGTTAAAGGTCAGTTGAACTCATGATCCTAATTCTTTTAAAAGATGAGTTCCCTCTTGTTATATTTGTTTATCATGAGTTTGTGTTTTTTGGGGAAAGAAACTCAATTAACTTCTTAATAGCATATAGAGAGAATTATAAAGTTTATAAATCGAACTCTTACTATCAGAAGTTTGGATGGCAAATTGATTAGCTATGGTTTACGTTGCACAACCATAATTACATTTGATAATAATAATAGTTTTGGTCTCTCTATCTCTCTCCTCTCTCTCTCTCTCTTGGTGTTAAAATATGCTTGCAATTTTAGAGATCGAAAGAAAAGAAACAGAAGTACAATATGAGAGACTCCAGAACATGACCTGAAGCAATGAGAATAAAAGGCAACCAAAGACATCGATTAAAAAAGAAAAGAAAAGAAAATGTAGCCAATTGTAACAAAAGAAGATATATAAATGAAGAGAAACATCAAAAATGTAAAAAATTAACTATTCTGCCCATCCCAGACCTATGCCAGTTGATCTAGGCACCTTGACTACTGAAGTCCTCCTGCCTGTTCACTTCGAGAATGTCATTGATTATGGGATGCTGGAGTGAGTATAGCTTGCATGGGTGGCAGGTTTTAGGATGTGAGTTTTATGGATCAAAGGAAAAAGTAAGACTGTAATTGGTTCACTTGGTGATCTTAGAGAGAGGAGGGACAAATCCGAGATGCTGCTTCTTTAGATAGGAAGAAGGTGCTCACTTCGAAGTATTGAAAACAAGAAAAGAAAGGAAGAAGATGCTCTTCATGGACATGAATTAAATGGAATTGCTAATGTAAGGTAATTCATGGAAGATAAAATATAGTGGCCATGGCTACTCTATCTGGAAAGGTGGAGGAGTCAATTCATGTCCTTTAAAGGTAGAACTACATTCATGGTGCAACCTCAATATTATGGATCCCAGCCTACTATATTCGTTTATCCCAATTTCCTTCCAAGATAGTAGATAGCTAAGGTAAACTTGATGTCCTGGTCCGAAGTATCCTCTTGTTAGATGGAGTATGGCAAGCCTAAGTCACAGAGGGGTTTCTGAAGAATTGAGAGAGAAGCAACAACTTGATTGTTGGTTTTTGAAAGGAACCACTTGGTTGATGTTAGAAACCCATTGCGGACAAGCGTTTATGTGGAGAGCCAAAGGGCTACTTTGTGCATGGTTGTGGCACATGAAAAATTATTTTGCACTGGATTGTTCCTGAAAGAGGGATTTTGGGAATGTTATCATTATAACTCCAAAGTTAAATTTCGAAAAAAGAACTATATGTATGGCTCAAACTGAGAAATCTAGAGCTTTCTGGTCTCCTACTTTAGCTAACATGACCCACCATATGGAAAGTACCCCTTGAGTTTCATGCCCTTTTTATCAAAAGGAGAGCTTATTCAATCATGATGAAACTTCATTCAATTGGGACCTGAAACATGGTACACTAGGTTGCATAAAAATGTTTATGGGTGAAATGTTTTCCCTTATAAACGAGTAACGTTATTCTGGCTTGTTGCTAATCTAATAATTGGATAATAAAGTATCTAAACCTTCCAATGCTGGAGTATATACATATTCTTTTTGGAAGCCCATGCATGAGAAAGTGATGTCGACCTGCTTTAGGCCAATGAGAATCGTCAGCTATGCTTCTGTAGTCCGAGATTAGGTCTCTCAATTGAAATGACATTCTTTCTGTTTTTATTCGATATCTCAATTTAAATGTCATTTTTTTTGTCAATCAATTATTTCAATTGAAATGGCATTCTACTTCAAGTAGTGAGTCGGGATTGAAGCAGAAAAGTTTATTGGACGCATTACAAACATGTGTGGCGGAGGAGGGGGCAAGCCTTCTTTTTCACAGGCAGGAGGAAGCCTTCATAGGTCATCTTTTATATGGTTTGGATTTAAACCTGAAACATTTGTGCTGCACCCAACTTGCCATTCCCGGAAGGCTGAGAGGCCAGGCATAATTTTTATTCTTGGGGTAGGTAAGCTGGGATTCGAACATTAAACACGAGGGAGAAGGAAGCAATCTTGAAAATCATTTCCCAAAAAATATAGAGGAGCTATTCTCTGCATATATTTTATCATATTTGTTTGTTCAATAAAACTAAAGGAATATGCTTCTTTTTACAGAAAAAGATCAGCACCATGACTGCAAATGAGTACTTTGAGAAGCACCCAGAACTCAAGAAGCAGTTTGATGACGAGATCCGTAATGACTACTGGGGTTACTGAGTGTTTGGCAGGCCTCACAGGGGGGTTGACTGCCACTCTTAAGTAATTTTGTGTGCTTTTCTCTGTTCTCTCCTCCATTGACTATTTAATCCCTTTTTTCAAAAAACAAAAGAAAAAATCCAATCTCTGCTGAATAAGAATTTATCCCCTTTAGTCTTGTATTGTGGATGCCCTTTAGTCTTGTATTGTGGCTAGTTTGTCATCTCTCCTTTGGGGGGGATGAAACCACAATATTTGGGTTTTGGGAACAGTTAGGAATAATCAAAGGAGATTTCAGTTGAACACTTTCTTTTCCCTCACTTTGCCTTCAAATTGATAACTCATTTTCTGTGACGTAGGGGTTTTCATTTAATGTCATGTTCTGGATAAAAAAACCACCGATTTGGAAATGTACTATGAGCCCAATGGGCAGAAAAGAAGAGGTATTTTTTACAGAACAAAGAACTTTTCTTAATAGAAAAGCGCATGAATATCATTTTCGGGATGCACTTTGTGTATGATATTTCGTAAACAGATCGGATCGGAGGTCCACTTTCTGTTGTCAGTAACCGATGATGGAGATGAGCTGTGTTTTGGCCATCCACCATCTGTTCTCGGTAACCGATGGTGGAGATGAGCCGTATTTTGTTGAACACCATTTCTCAACCGTGAAAGATGAGTTGATCTCATCCTCCATTTGGTGAAAATGTATGGTGGATGACTGGTTTGTGTGCTCTGCTTATAGCTATTTAATCCCGTCCATCCAATTTCTTTCGGCTGAACGGTTGCAATTAGGAAGTGAGCCAGCTTACCCAATGCCTATTGAGCATTGTCTTGTAACTGGCAATGATCAAAGTACATTTTGAATACACAGATGTAGTAAACGTGGTGGTACTCTAAATAACACAGGAGCATCTACTCTCTGGCTTTAGAGATGAATTGTTATGAATATTGGTTGATTTATTTTATTTTATTTGCTAAGTTAGTGAAGGGTTTAAGCGAGTAACCCACCCATTGTACTAATTTGAAAAAAGCAACCCTTTTCTTTTTCTAAATGCAGTTAATATTGGTACACTTGGGGGGTAACGGTTTGCTCCCATCTGTCCCTTGGAACGGTTGGATACGCATACTGTGGATTCTCTATGGTACGGTTTCCCTGTTCGGGAGCATTTCTTCATCTGAAATTGTGGGATGTACTTTAAGAATCCACCAGATGAGTATATTAAACAGAAGAAATTGATTATCAAAACACTTAAATTCAGACTTTCCAAAAACCGTATTCTGCACGTATTTTGATAAAGTGATTATATGCTATGTGGGACCATTTCCATTTATTGCAACAGAGGTTAGAATCACTAGTTATTAGATGTCTAATTGGAAGTTTGCTTACAAAGAGGTTAGAATCACTCTCAGTTATTAGAATCACTCCGAAATATTAGAATTCCTCTCTTTGTCGTCCATCTTGAGCTCAGCCTTCTTCCTTCCCCCTCAAGGTCATTTTTCAGTAGCCTCCTTTTACAAGAAACTCCTGCAACCTCCCATCTTTCCCTCTTTCTTCGAGATCTGTTGTGGCCCAGGTTTGAGCATCCTTTGCACCTTCAAAGGTGCAGGCCTTCAATGGGATAGTTTGCTCTAAAAAGACACTAACGGTGGGCCAATTACAACAGAGGGGACTCCCTATTCCAAACCGATGTGCGATGTGCACAAACGATGAAGAATCAAACTCCCACATATTCATTCATTGCAAGTTTGCTTTCGAACTTTGGTGTTTACTGCTCCGTCTCTTTGGCTTCTTGTGGGTAACTCCTCCTTCCATTCCGGTCCTCTTCAACACATGAAGGGAATTCCCAAGGCCTTCCGTTGGGAGACTACTTTGGAAAACCACCACTGTTGCTACCATTTGAGCAATTTGGATGGAGAGGAACTCGAGGATTTTTTGAGGAACCAAGTGTGATGTTAATATGCATATTCCACAAAATTACCTTCGATCTAGCCTTTTGGGCTTCTAATCACCAGGCCTTCAAAGGACTTCCTGCCTCCTATGTCTTAAACCAGTGGAAGCAAATCTTACTAACCTAGTTGCCGAGGGGATCGAACAATTGGTCCCCTCCCCCGAAGGGCCATACCAAGCTCAATTGCGATGGGTGCTCCTTAGGCAACCTAAGTTTGGCAGGAGTGGGTGGGGTCTTTCGAGACCACCTTGGCAATGTTCTAGCCAGCTACTCCGAAATCATTAACCACGTAGACTCCTAGTTCGCAGAGTCCTTGGCACTGCTAATCAGTATTAAGCTTTTCAACCCTCCTAGTCTCAACCTCTCTTAGTGGAAGGAGATGCTAAAAACGTTATATCTTGGACAGCAAGCTCTGAACCACCTCCCTGGTACTGGCTTCGATACTATGTTTTCTTGCTCTCTTAATTTGATATAATTTCTCTCTCTAAAATTTTAATATGCTTTCGTTCTTTAACAACAAAATGGGTCATTTCCTTGAAATGTCAATTCTACATATTTAGCTTAAAATGAGCATTCAGGAATCCCACAAAAATTTCAATATCAACAGAAATGTCAATTGCAAGCGAACCAAACACGATTGACTACCTTTTCCACGAAAAGTGACTCCTAAAAATATGAATCTAAAGTATCAAATAGGAAAAGCACTTTTTTCTCTTAAGATTATATATATCTAGGAAATGTACATGGAGTAAGTATGAGGCAATAAATGAAAAAAAACATTAAAACATGCAAAGGAGTGAAGGAAGGTTCATAGGTTAAAAAAGATAAGGTGAATATTGAAAAGGTCATGTTTGAAATATTTTTGTTTAAAAATAACGAGCCATTGTCACTCTCATGTCTAGCCTTCGAATCTCGATATTATTGTCATGCTTTCTGTTAGGTTTGGTGATAGTGAAAATCACAATTCCTATGTTTTTATTAAAAGATTAAGGATATTATAGAAAAAAAGGAAGGGCTTTCTTGGAGAGCAAGAAAGAAGCTCAAATGATCTCTATAAGAGGGGATCAAGGAAAGCATAATACTCATCCTTTTGAGGGTCACCCCTTTAGGGGTTAAAGGAATGGATCTCCCAAGAGGAGATGATTTTCCGAGAGAGAGAGACACGGCCTCTGAGAGAGAGGTAGTATTCCCATGAGTTTTGGATTGGTAAGGCTTGCACTTCTAGAGAGAGAGAATCTCTCGGTTGTTCTCGAGGTTATCTTTTCAGTAACGGTATTGCAGTGGGAAAGAAGGTGTTGATCGGTCGAGAGAGTGAATTAGAAGGGAAGATCAGTGATGGTCTTTTACCTATATTTAGGGAAAGGTATAACTCTTGTAACCCAAAACTGTAATCTTCATTATGATAGTAGATTTCTAGTTGCTGAGGTAATGGATGTAGCCCTACAGGGTGAACCATGTAAATCGTGTGTTGTGGTGGTGTATATGTTTATATTTGTTTTATTTCTCGCACTCGATTTATAGTTGTATTCATCTACTTCGTATTTAGTTAATCTTGTGATATTTGGGATTACTGGTTCCGCAAGCTAGGGGTTCTTGAGAACCCTACAATTGGTATCAGAGCATTGTTGGGTGTCCCATCCTATGAGGGAGGGACACCAATGGAGTTGTTCTTTTTTATAGAGGGCAGTTCTAGAAAGTGGAAGAGGGTGACTTGTTGACCAAGTCGCCATCCCACACAAATAAGATCTCACATATAGTTTTGATATGAGGAGATATTTCTCTTATCTCTTTCCAAAGGGAGATAAAGATGGATCTTCTTTTTAGGAGGTTATGAGATACTTTCATATATGGTTGTTATCTCTTAGCCTATAATAAAAATGAATACGTGAGAAGATATAGTAGACTATTGGTTGGTTAAACCAAAACCACCTCTTTGGGCCATTTTTGAACCTTTTTTGGGTGTGCATCTCTCAGGACCATTTTTTTGAGCGAACTCTTATTGGTATATTGAAAATACAGGAAGCTTCCTTTTGTAGAGAAGAAGAAGATAGAGATTCACCCCTCTCTATAAGAGGAGAAGAAGAAGATAGAGATTCATCCTTCTTTATAAGAGAAGAGAGAGTTAACCTTCTCTGAGAGAGAGAGAGAGAGAGAGAGAGAGAGAGAGAGAGAGAGAGAGAGAGAGAGAGAGAGAGAGAGAGAGAGAGAGAGAGAGAGAGAG